TTATGACACTGAAAGTAATATAGTTCCTACTCTACAATACATGGAGACAATGAACAATTCAAGCTTCAATTTCCAAAAAACAATATAAAATAAAAGTAGAGCAAACACGGACCCCTGAAATATCAGAGGTGGGATTTACAAATTTATAGCCTCCGTATTATTGCATTAGAAATAAAAAACAAATTTCCAAGGAAAATAATTGTCATAATTTTTTCATCCCCTTTACTCTCTACATTCCAGCACTAGCATTGTCAAAAAGAGAGTAATTTCGAAACATCTTATTGATTTCAATATCTAGGATTTTATTTGAATTTTTAGAGAAAATCTAAAATTTGTGTAATCTACAAATGAAGAGCTATATATTATAATTTGACATTAATATATGCATGAAATTTAATATTTATAAAACATGATAAAACATGATAAAACATAAACCTTGTCAGCAAATACAATTTATCATTGAGTCAAATGCTGACTGACGTTTTTGATACCAATTGTTAGTCCCTTATTTAAACACTGAATTGACGACGGATTTTTTCCGTTATTTCCTGATCATGACAACGAGCACACGGCGGGTGTGACCGGTCGGCAGGGGATGCTCACTCCTCCATGGCACCTGATCCCACCTCTGATGTTTCGGAGGTCCGTGTTTGCTCTGCTCTTATTTTGTATATTGTTTATTGGACGTTGAGATTGAACACTGTTCGTTATTTCCATATCCTTCATGATGAAAAGAGTGAGTGAAACATTTAAAGTGGCCGACTGGGGTTTTATTGTTTGAAAACTACAATAGCGAAACTCTTCACATTTATACCATATATAACTCACATTAACTTCAGCGCACATGCCAAGTCTGGGAAAAATCTACCGTCCAGGTATTTTTAAGTGGTCGTCTCAAAATACAGGTACATTTACTACAGGATTATATGGGAAAGTGCCACTTTTTAGCACTTTAAAGCATATTATACAAAAACTACCATAGACCCTGTGTTAAAACTAGAATATATGATGAGTAATACTATATTGTACATTATATGTAAGAAACACAAAATTATACCGCCTTGTTACCAGAGGGGGCATCTCAAAATGCAAAAAATTAGCGAATTATCCTGTTTTTATATAGTACTACAAAATATAACGGGCACAAGTGATTTATATAAAAACATAATAAAAACATTGGAGATATTCTTAAATTGGTATGTTTTAAATTCCAAGAGCGTATGCTTATTTTTTTTATTAATAATAACAATTTTATTACCCTTGCTCAAGAGTCTAATTACTTTGTGTTTTAAATAGAAATATATAACAATCTCACGGAAAGAGAAACTTGCATACGATAGGCAATCCTTTGCATTATTGATTTTGATCAGTACTGGCTATATTTTGTTCGTTTTGTTTGGGGTTGTTTCAATTTGAAAATAACATTTTTAAAACTATAATTGTCTATTTCTACATTCATGAATTTATTGACTTTATCTATAAGGACAATTTTTAAATAATGTTTGTTTGCTCTCTCCCGATTCTAGATAAAAAGTAAATCGGTAGGTACATGTAAGTAAGAATTTTTAAAGACAATTTCAAAATCAATGTTGTAGTTCCAAAATCTATTCTCCGGAATGCATAGAATAATTATTATTTCTTGGAAGTTAACAAGCAATTTCAAAGAATTGTGGTTCCCCGCTTTTGATGTCTTTGTGGGAGAGATGTCTTTATTTATGGCATATTGTGTCATATATGAACGCCCTATCGTATGCAATTGAGAATATATCACCGAAGTTGATTCTTTGAAAATTTGGTCAATCGTGAAGGTCAAGGGGTCATAAATCACATCAAACTCGGATATATCTTATCACAGGCAATGCACATGTTGAATATGAAAGCCCTATCTCTTCCTATTCAAAATAACATTTATCTAAAAAATAGGTAAATCATCAAGATGCAAAGTCATGGGGTCACAAATCATATGGTATTTAGAAAGGTCTTGTCACAGGAAATACAAATATTAATATGAAACCCGATCTCTTCTCATTAAAACGTTATGACCAATTAAATATAATTTTTAAATTTTTGAAAAGAAGGTAAAGCTTCAAGGTCACTAATGGGCTAAAAATCATAGTTTATTTAGAAAGGTCTTGATTATCATAGGTAATACACCTTTGAAATTCCTTTCTTTTCTTATTCGAAAGATATGAACAAGGTAAAAGTGTTTATGACAGACAGACAGACACACAAACTGACGGATGGACAGAAGAACGAGATTCAATGTCCCCTCGCTATCACAAAACCGAAAGCCAATACTCTTTATTTAACTACCTTCCCCACAGTCACGTATTACAATGCATAAACATGTATATACCTTTTCCTATTTCTAACACAAAATCATGCATATACCGCTTCCTTGCAATCCTGCATTTTCCACGCACTTTCAAAAGTACATTTAATCATTAATTAAATGGAAATTCCCTTGAATTGTACATAATTTTACAAAAAAGGAACGTTTTAATCTTATTAAAATACACGTATTGCGTTAAAATTATTAATACAAACCTTTAAAGAAACTCGTACCGCGCTAGAATGTGCTTGCGGGGAGAAGGTAACGTCATATTTCTATGATGTGGACAGTATACGTAAGAGTATGTTGTGTCAATGTATCATACAGTAAGTTGTTATGAGTTCTGGTATCGTTTCTGCTTCATTAATTAATCTTTGCAATCGCGTAGTTAATTAATTTATTTATAAATTAGGAGATCACACATTTTTAATATCATTTCAAACACAATACATCCAAAACAAACTTTTTATCGTACAATGAAAACCATTTCACTTTTAAAGAGTCATACATATTTTAATACACATTTTAATTCAGTACTTCTTTCTCAGTTGCACAACTTTTATTACCATGTATTGATGATTGTAAGGATGCCAAACGAAAGATGTGTACATGTAGTTTGATTTCCTGTGGTTAACCTTTTTAATTAGTTAACTACTTACTAATAACTTAATGTGCAAATATATATTTTTTCAAAAAACACTAGATTGTAATAATATCATTGAAATGTCTCCATTTAACAAGCAGCAAATTAGAACGTTTTTGTGTGGAACATAGCGAAACATGAATATTTGTAAATGTATGCCATATGTTAAGATTGCTGCGTGGTTTCCATTTCCTTTGCCGATAAAACCTACTTTTCCCACACGGACTTTTTCTTAACATCTAGAAACAAGGAAAATAGCTGAATTACGTTCCCGGTAAAACAGAAAGTTCCTGGTCTGCTGCGGGGGTTTGTCTTGATGCGATCTTTCGTGAAATATAAACATCTGTGCAGTAAAGGACATATAGGCAAACTGATTCCCCCAATAACAGATAACAATACCACATTGAGGTGTAAGTCTCCATTAAACCCCCAAGGAATGGAGGGTTCACAATAAAACCAATGGACGCAGCCACCAGAAACATAGAAGCCACTTTTCCATTGACCCGAAGAAATTTTTGTTCCGTCCACATAACCACCACTGGGAAAGTGATGGACAAAGAAAAACCAATAAGTAGAGTAAATAGCCATACACCATAAATGACGTCATATAGTGACGTCAGTAGAAAGCCAAGAAGAGATATCAGTAGCATCAAATTGAATGAAAATAGCATTTTCGCCGGGCGAACGCATTGCACTAGGAAAATCCCAAGGAAGCGTCCAACAGAAAATGAAGTCCAGTATCCAGAAGTGAGATAACTTCCGTCAGCATTTGTCCAGTTCAACTGTGACGTAACAAATGACGTCAAGAATCCTGTAAATGATTTATCAATAGCTACATACACGGCTATGTAAAAAAGAATAATTATGAGACCAGTGATTCGGAGACGTCGAGCTGATTTCTTTTTAATCTTTCCTTCTTGTTCTTTCGAGGTGTCCCTGTCAAGTCTTTTCTGGAGAGAGATACCACAAAAAATTAAAAACGGAAGTGAGGTCATAACACAAAGTCCTGCAGTCACAGTATATGGTATATAAATCATTGATTCAGAAGTTTCCATCAGTTTAGTTACGTTGTAACTACTTCCATTCCTTCCAATGGTAAAATTTGAAATGTCTGAAGAATTGACAGTGCTTGTTGTGAGATTCATTACGGGAACGTTATCACTGGGCGGCATAACGTAAGGAGCAGTTATCAAAGGAGATAGGATTCCACCAACAGCAAATGCAAAATGTAATGCACTAAAGTAGATATTTCCTTCATTGCCCCATGTAGTTAGTAGTCCTGCATTACCGCCTATTTAGAATGGAAGAGAAATATGCAATTTAAATGTATTGATACATTTAGTAATCATATTTGAATGTTGCAAATTATATAACAGATCACTTCAAAACCAAAACCAAAGGTATTCAAAACCAATGTTTTTAGCAGCATACTAGTGTGTATGACCTCAATTTGAAATAACTTTAAATATTAGTTTAATTCCATTTATAAAGCCCAGTTTCCTGTAAAAGAAAAACTCATTACCGCCTATTTAGAATGGAAGAGAAATATGCAATTTAAATGTATTTGATACATTTAGTAATCATATTTGAATGTTCTGAAAAATTTTGCATATGAACTCGCTATTTAATTGCAGCACGTAAGTAAGATATCTGTATACATTTAACCCTCTAATTTGAAAATAAAAGTACAGTAGGTATTAATAATATGACATTTTCTATGATAATTGAAATCAGGATTGCTTACATGTATCCAGGCCCCCAGCAAAGGACCCTTTTATAATGAATACGATGACCATAACTGTATATATTTCACACCACGGTATGACAGCAAGGATGACGCCATATCCGGCGATGATCAGAAACATCAAAAGGTTTCTATCCAGGAGACGCTTGTCAAACAGGAAACCATTCACAATTGACCCCAGGAGGTACCCTACTGTATTCATGGTAAAGAATAGGGAACCTTTCTCCAGTTTTGTGTTGGTGATATGTAGCAGATCTGGAAATGTTGGTCCGAACTGTCCCTCGCCCCATCCCTTCAAAATAATTACAGACGTGAAACGGACCAATTAACGATATACATCAGCATTACCATATAGTTTTGATCTTCAGAACAAAACATAATAAATTCAAGAAAAGCATTTTTTTTTCATAAGAATTCTTTGATGAGAAAATATATTCCAAATTGACAATTGTCAATTTGGAATATGCTTTCTCATCAAAGAATTCCTATGAAAAAAAAAATGCTTTTCTTGATGTTTTAGATATTGAGTAAAATATTTAGTTACATGTATATCTATACACTGAAATACTGTAAATCACTTTTTATTCGCGAGAACTTTATTTTCGCGTAATTACGCGAGACGGAATGCTCGCGAAAATTTCATTCTCGCGTATTATAGAATTCCTTAAGATTATATAGAGCAATGACCACAATTCGCGAAAATTTTGTCTCGCTAATAAAGAGTCAATGACTATCTCGCGAAAATAAGATGTCGCTAAAATTTAGTGATCTACAGTAGTATACTAATGCATGCATCCCGAAAATAGTTTCAAACGAATCATTTTAACCCCCACCCCACCCCCCGCGAAATATTCCTCTTTCTGCTTTATAACAATACATAAAATATGCCTACTCATAAAAGACAAGCAAATAAAGACATGCAGAGAATGTTCAGAGTACGTACATCATCATAGTAAAAGGTTTACGTGTAACTTTTTTTAACGCACTTGTCGTGCTTGATATACATATTCAGACCTAATTACACACCCCACAAGTCAACTTAAAATGCTATATGTTCTGGTTTCTTCAACAATTGAATTATTTTCAAGTTAAAAGCACGTTATTTTTGTTATACTTTACATGCACAAAAATAAAAAGTTATAAGTTCATTTCATAACTTACTAATGTAAGAAAAGAGGCAATGTATGCTATTGTCAGTAGGAATTTACTTCGGAAATGTTGGTCCGTTTTCAATTTAAACCAGAAGTTCCTGCCATTTTTCTTTGTCTCTTTCAGCAGGTCCTCGGTTGTTAGCTCCTGCACTAAATCACCCTGACCCTCATTGTCTGAACCAGGTTTATTCATTTCATTAAACTAGCCACATATGAGTTCCTTGTTGAAATTATTCTGCCTCAATTTTCACTTATATTTTTCTCATTCCTGCCATCTTCGTGCCCTGTCTGAACGTAAAAAAGCTCACTACACAAAAGACATGTAACGTGCTTTATTTTAATTTTACATTTCTATAAAGGTTTTGTTTATTTCTATTATTTACGAAAGATGATAAATATTTGCTTAAGGAATGTTGATTTTTACAAAAGCATTATGGAATACACATGTATTTTTTGTAAAGGACACAAAGAAATCTTAATTTATAGGTTTTTTTTATGAAAATATGTATAAAATTAATATTACAAATGCTAGTTTTTTCCACAATTATCATTAAAATACATGAAGAGTAACAAAAATAAATTATAGAATAACTGCATGATACATGATTATGCTTGAATTTGAAAAAAAAACCACATAAATATTGACGACATTATGGCAAATACTTGGATTTACCTTATTTCTATGTGATAAAATTAAATGGAATCCTTTCCGTTGACGAATTTAACCTCTATCTTGCCTTTCAGATCACGATTAAGAACCTGCTAGGTCAGAAATAAGGTCACAAAGATACATGGGTGGATCCAAAGGTATCAAATGCCATAGCTCTTAAGGAGTAAACCCTATTTTACAATACCCGCCTAATTAAACATAATATTTGACATGTTAAGCATATTTGCTGTGAAAGGTTTTTTTTTTCTTGAATTCAAGTTTGAATTCCTGGATGATTAAAAAATAATTGCACTATTTCAGGTTGACAAAATGCACGACATTTTTTATTTTCCAGTTGACAATTAAGTGACGATATGGCTATTTTTTTTATCATAAACAACAAAGGAAATGTGGAAATGGGAAAAACACTGCAATCAGCCTAATGAATTTTTAGCTTCAAAATGGGGAAATCGCCAGTAGGGACAGTTACGATGATTAATCAGACTCACAGAGGAAAAAAATGTAAATGAGACTTTTTATAGATTTGCAGCGATTTGGGGAGGGCCATGGGTCATTAAATGATCAGCAAAGGATAGGAAGACCATACGAAGGGAGGTTGGACGGAAACGTTCAATGGTGACGTTATCAAAAAAGTAGGCGTGCCAAGCTTAGTGTGATATGAGAAACTTTGTGTTATGGTACTGATAATAGAATTTCGACAGAGGACTAAATTAAAGAAAAAGAATGATTGTACTGTGGTTTTAAATAATTAATAAAGTGAAATATGTGTATGTGTTCGTAAATGTGAAATATTGACATAATGCAATGAATGGCAAGCGTTTAAGTGTATGACAGCGCGTAATAGTCATATGATCGACGTTATTTAGGTGCGGCAACTACTATAATTACACGTTGTATTTTTAATTTAATTTTTAATTTTGAAAAGGTATGAATAGTTGAATTTGAATTTTTCTGCTCTGACTTGAAAGTAATATAGTTTCGAGCATGTATACTTTTGTTGTTTTATGTCGACTAGTAGCGAAGTTTTGACAATAACTTGGATTAATCCTCGAATTTTGTATCATAAGATAAACAGGCATTTAAAGCTAAAGTAACATGTGTGTCTATTTAGATAAATAATATCTAGGGTCCTCCATATGTGATATAACTGGTGGAACTGTATTTCCAGAACAGTTTGACCGAGATCTGAAACAGGGATCAAGAACTGGAGTTATTTATTCTGTTTATCTCCTACAGGTTTAACATTGGCAGACAGGTATTTGTGAAATTGAATAATCATTAATTAATAAAAACACGTGTATACTGATTATTTATAATTCTCCTTCAAAGTTCAATAATTTTTAAAAGCTTTTTTTTTTGTCTTTTCTGAGAATTCCATATTTCTATCCAATTATCAAAAATTATCTATATGTAGATATGGAATAGAATCTAGGTGGTGCATATTACTATAATGGTTTTTTTTTATTTTTCAATTCTAAAAAAGAAATCAGTTGCGATACTAGCTGTATGATATTATCTTTATGACTTGTATAAACGACACGAAAAAGTAAAATTAGAAATATGTTGAAATATTCAAAAATGTGGAAGAAAAATAAACGATATTAATTTTTTTTTCATTTTTTGGAGTATTTTGTAATCAATTTGCTTAAAGATTGGTAGATTTCAGTACGAAAATGATAAAATATTTTTTCTAAACGCCTGCCTCCCTTCGAACATTCTCTATTTGCTTCTTAAAAAGAAGATACTGCGAACACTCCAGAGCACTGAGAAGCAGTTGATTCTTTCAAAAAATTCTTACAAGATTTTAGAGTATATGAGGGGCAGCTACGTCTTGAAAAAGAAGAATTGTTGAACGTTCTACAACAAAAGAGAGACAGCAGATTCTTCGAAAATTCTACAGCAAATGAGGGACACAGTTGCTCGTTGAAAAAGAAGAGTGTTCGAACATTCTAATTAAAAGCAAATTAATAATAGTAATAAACAATGAAAGATACATCTGAGAAGAAAGGACTTCAAGAAAATCACCAAGATCAAGACTTCGATGACCAGAAGAGATCAAACGATGAAGAAGGGACGCAAACTGAACAGAAAATAAGAGGTAAAATCCGGATTATGTTGAAGAAAGACCAACTTTTTAGGAAGAAATACATACTGACAGTGGCATACATTGCTTCTTTTCTGGCACTTGTGAGTATTAATGAAACAAACGATGAAATGTGTTCTTTTATTTAAAAAAAATGAATGTAATGTAAAATACGTGATAAGTCAAATATTTCGATGATAAAAGAACAGAGTTTAATGGAATATCTCAACAGTTAGAAACTGACTCCACACTTATCAATTACATTACGGGGTATTCGTCAAATATTTTCCACCAATATTTGTTAGGGATGGGTAGAGGGTCAGATGGGACCTACCTTTCCAGACCTCAGACTTCTTGCCAAGACAACCCTGGAGAAAGGATCTCTATTCTTTACCATGGGGACCGTTGGCTACCTCTTTGGCTCATTGTTAACAGGCTATCTCTTCGACAAGCGAGTCTTAGACAGAAACCTGCTGATGTTTATTGCCACCGCCGGATACGGTGTCATTGTTGCAGTTATACCTTGGTGTGGGATGTTTGAGGTCATGGTTATTATACATATTTTCAAAGGTGCTTTTGGAGGCGGATTGGACACTTGTAAGTTCATGGTTCACCAATATTGTATGAAAGTGTTATTTCAGTAAGAATCTGTTTGTAGAACTCAATTTTAACATTATAATTGTGATTGTGAAGCAAAATACAAATTTATAGGGAGATTGATTGAATGTATACTGTTTAACGTCCCTCTTCAGAATATTTCACTGATATGGAGAAGCTATGTTTAGGAAAGGTAATTTCGAATATTGATGACGACTATGAAAAAGGCCAGAATGGGTGTATTTCTCTTTTAAAAGATATTTCACTGATGAATTTAGAATTAAGTAAGTAGTAATTTTCTAAATAAATTAAATGCCAACTTATTGATAAGTTCACAAGGAAAAGTGGCTTATGTGATATTCATGTGGTTATCTTTTTATTTGAAAATTATGTGAAAATCAAATGAAAATTACATGAATATATTTTCCTGTAAATATTATGTGAATAAAAGTCTAAATGATATTCACAAAAATCCTTTTTTAACTTCCTTTTCTTCGGTTTTCTTTGCATGATATTTATGTGATATGCTCATGTAAAACTCATATGAAATGTATGTCAAAATCACCGAAAGTTTACATAAAAATTTCACATGTCTCGTTTTTTGTGTCTTTTTCGTGCAAAGAATTCACATGAAATTTATAGGAGCCACTTTTGCCTGTGTAACTTGTATAAAAAAACACCTTCAGTCATAGAAAGGGATCTGTTTGATATGGTTTCTTTAAAATCATATAAAATTCTGTTTTTTTACCAAGGTGGAAACGCGGGACTTGTTAAGACGTGGGGTGACGAGGGTGATGCCTATTTCAGTGCTTTACATTTTGCATTTGCTGTTGGTGGAATTCTGTCCCCTTTGGCAGCATCACCTTATGTTCTGTCACCTGACGAAAATGGTCCCCAAATGATCTTCCCAAACTCTACCAACTCTACCCATGGTTTATTTGAAGTTACAAACATATATAACACGACCAATAATTCTTCAGCGCAAGCATCAAATGACTTTCAAGAATCGTTAATCTATATTCCATACACTATGACCACAGGACTATGTCTACTAACATCCCTTCCATTTATTGTATTTTTCTGTATATCCTTAGAGAAAGCACTTGAAAAAGATACAACAATGGAGGAGGTACAAAATAAAAGAAAACCTCACCAAAGGCTTAGAATACTGGGATTCATCAACATGGTTATATTTATGACTGTATATGTTGCTGTGGAGGATAGTTTTGCTGGTTTTCTGACAACGTTCGTGACGTCACAATTACATCGGTCAAATGCTGATGGAAGTTACATCACCTCTGTCTACTGGGCATCGTTTGCTGCCGGACGTTTTCTGGGAATTTTCCTAGTTAGATGGTTCAGCCCAGCGAAAATGATCTTTACCTATAATTGTGCGCTTTTGCTGTCTCTTCTAGGCTTTCTTCTTACGTCACAACATGACGCTATATATGGCATATGGATCTTTACTTCACTAACCGGATTCTCTTTATCAGTAATTTTTCCCACCGTTTTTATGTGGACAGAACAGAAATTCCTAAAGGTCACGGGGAAAGTAGCCTCCTTTTTTCTCGTGGCGGCTTCGGTGGGATTTATGGTGAATCCACCGATTATGAGCGCTTTGATGGAGAACTATACCCCTATGTGGTTTAGCTACCTGTTGTTCAGTGAAACGGTACTTTTACTCGTTCTTTATTTCTCAGGATTGTTGATCTCTAAGAGAATAACAACAAAACGTTCTAATGTGGCGGATAAGGAGCTCGTTGTTTTAAACGAATAAAAGTCACGCCATGGATAACAGTGATTTGAACATTCATCAAAAGATTCTAATCAATTACAAATTAATTCTATGACAAAAGCAAAGAAATATGTTTTTTAATTAGTTACAGATGTAATTGAGATCTTCTAAGGAACGGTCAAAGTAATATTTCTTATTAGCAATATATACAGGTATAATACTGAGAAGCAATACATTTTGTAAATATGGAATACTCATGTGTTTCTATCTTAGCAAACTGTACCGTAGTCAAATTGTTTTTGTGGACACTATTATTATTTGTCCTCTTCCTACACTGCAAATTGTGCACAACCGGTTTCTACCGGTATTGGTATACGCCCAGATAGCAGGATGTTATTGGACCTTTGTTGGGCCAACAATGCTCCTTATGTTGGGCCACCGTTTGCATTTAACATTGGGCCATCGGTAATTTGCTCATCGGCCCTTAATCAAACCAACTTGTTGGCTTCTAGTTGGGCCAATGTAACAGTTAATATTGGGCCACTGTTGGGCCAATGTATTCTTTCAATATTGGACAAAGGTCATTTTTGTACAATTGGGCCATTGTAAGCAATTAATGTTGGGCCAACGGTAATTTGCTCATCGGCCTTAATCAAACCAACTTGTTGGCTTATAGTTGGGCCAATGTAACAGGTAATATTGGGCCACTGTTGGGCCAATGTATTCTTTCAATGTTGGGCAAACGTCATTTTTGTACAGTTGGGCCATTGTAAGCAAATAATGTTGGGCCAACGGTAATTTGCTCATCGGCCCTTAATCAAACCAACTTGTTGGCTTATTATTGGACCAACGAACGGATATCATTGAGCCATTGTTGGGCCACTTATTCTTTCAATATTAGGCAAATTACATCGTTTTGGCCAACGTTGCTTTGTATCTTATTAGCTCTCCATCAGGACAACTCATTTTTCTTCACAGGTTGGCCATTTGTCCTCAAAATTGAATAATAAACTATATATATCAAGGTTATAGTAGTTTTGTAGTACAGTGTTATGGTAAAAGACCTTCAATACTATATATGTTAGATTAATAGTTCAATAAATATTCACAATATCTCATAAAATTACCATCAACAAGTATTGCCCTGTAAGTAGCTCTACATTAATTAAAATAATGAGGAAAAAGAAATCAGAATATAAAATAGTATTATAAAATACTAATATTTTATTGCTCAGTGCATGAAGAAAACATTAATAAAGAACAGAAAGTTGATGCTCACTTGATTCGAAACATGTAGGGTTACATAACTGTATACTCCCTCTTTGATGTAAATTTATACACAAGTTCAGTAAATTGCATACATCAATAAGCACGTCTAAAAAATAAACAAAGTCATCCTGTTCTCAAAATAATACTAAAATGAATCCCGCAATTTTTTTTACTTACACAAAAAAATGTTTCTGGCATTTGCATCGTGTTTGTTACCGACAAACAGGCACAGAAAAGGAGAGAACTACAGGTATTGCACAGTATATAACAGAAAAAAGTTACTAGGCACTGCCACGTTCAATCTGATCCCTCTCCTAAGTCTCCTCTTCTCTCTCCGGAGTCTCCTCCCCCCTTCTTTTCTTTTCTGTCCGTTTCTTCCTCCCTTATCCCTGTCCTTGGCATACCTTAGTCATTCTTTGATTGTGTTCTCAATGTCTATTTAGAATCTCCAGTAGCACTAAAATTGTAGTATTTAGTACTTAATACATGTGTTACTTTTCTCAGTAAAGAGTAAACATACGATTAAATTTACAAGTATTTCACTATACACGTGTATTTTTAAGCTGTCAATTGAGGAAAAACCGTCTTTTTTGTTTCATGGTGTGATTAAGCGATTAGCTTGCGTGATGAAGGCATTTATGCATAAAATTTCTACGCTAGATCATCATCATCACACTGATTCAATGTTGCCCCATATAATTTATTATTCAAAGTAAAATACATGTTTAGAAAATTTGTCGGTACAGTGGTACACTGAAAACATTTTACATGAAAGACCCAATATATGTTTTAATACTGAATAAATTTTGTTTTAACTTCAACATGTTCAACATTTTCAACATGTTTGATCATGTGTTCGACTTTAAGTGTATATACGTAAAATGAGTGGTAGACTTCGGGAATTTATTCTACTAAAAACAAATTTCAATCTAAATAAGGGGCAAATTATCTATTGTTTTAACTGTATCAAAACACATTTGTTATTTTATACTTTCATTTATTTTTCTTGTATAGAAACAATAAATTTAATCACTGATAATTTATTTTGTTTTGATAAATTTTAAGAATTTTAACAAGCCTTGTAAATTTATTTTAGCTAGCTTGTATTTTCAAGAAGGATTGGTGTTAGATTTATTTCTGATTTTAGAGACTATCGGATTTGTTTATATACAGATTTGTAACAATTAAATGTTTATACACATTGGCTCAATGTTGGTCCAATTTATCTGGCCAACATTGGGCCAATGAGCAAAATGACACTGGGCCAACGTCATTTGCCAACATCGGCCCAGTGTTCTTGTTGACGTTGGGCCAAGATTAGCCCAATGTCGCATTCAATTGGACAATGTTGTCGCAACGTTAGGCCAATATCTGTAGCATTAACACTCTACATTGGGCAAACGTTGGCACAACATATCGGGCCAACATTGAGCCGATAAGCAAACTCACACTGGGCCAATGTCATTTGCCAACATTGGCCCAATGTAACTGATAACACTGGCCCAACGTTGGCCCAATGTTGCTATCTGGGACAGTGATGACTCAACAGCACCTGGCCTCTGCACTGATTTACACAGATTTGTACACGATATCGTTTAAACTATAAACGTTAATTAAGGTAGGATTCTTCTCTGGTTTCTGACTAGATGAAACATTCAAAGTATATTTGCTTATATGTCTTATATATTGAGGTGTAAGGAATTTAAAAGACCATATTTTTCTTTCCTCATCAGAAATGTACAACTTTAAATAGAAATGGTAAACTGCGTTTGAAAACTAGCAGGGACTATATTTTTGGCGGAATGGTGGCGTATGAAAATATGTTCTTTTCTGCCTCTCAAAATTATAATAAAACAATGAATTTAGCTATAATTTTTACACAATCGAAGACTTGGAGAGATTTTCAAATGTAAGTTAAATTAATAATGAGGGACTGAACTTTCAAAATATATCAAACAAATATGATTTTTCAAACAAACTAGAACTTTGTTAGCTTTTAAACGCTTCCTATCAAAGTGCAGATTTGAGCCAAAAATCCATTAAAAGTATTTTTTCTCTCTTATTAAACGATCAAAACTTTTTGTTTTTGTATCATTTTGTACATTTATAAGACTACTTTTTAATAGTGAAAATAAGAAAAAGTTAAATATAGGAAGCATATGAAAATAACTAATATATCCTAAAAAATTAAGAAAAACAGAGAAAATTCGGATTAGCCAATATCCAGTTAAGTTAAATTATTTATGTAAATTTGGTAATATCGTGCTATAGACCCGATATAGTAATATGTTTTTATGCAAAAAGAACAATCATTAAACTTTTGAAATAGAAGTAGGTATTACATGATTGGGAACAGTATTCTTTTATTCTAAATGTGAAGGAAAAAGATAATGACCTTGACCTGACCTTGCCTCTAATATAAAACGGTCAAATTTAATTTCACTGATACTATCACTTACTGATATTGTCTTCTTGATTCTGAGAAAATTTCATGAATTTTTAAATATTAGAAATATGAGAAGAATCCTACCTTAAGCTGTGTCGAAGCAAACATATTATAAATACTTACAGAGTGGATGCAGATATGCAAGGCATCAGTCTCATTACGCTCGTGTCAGATTTAAAATGGCGCGGAAATTACAAGTAGCCCGGATGTTGTCTACCCATGATGCTCAGCCAGATTCATGGTATATTGGGCCAACGTAGGGCCGATGCCAATCCCCAAACAAATATATGATAATAGTTTTATGATATCTTGCCAACAGTAAGCCCAACATTAGCGCACTATTATACATAACCAGCTATCAATATTCCATGTTGGGCCATTGTTGGCCCAATCAATGTAACCCAACATAGATAATACAACCATAATGTAAGATTTGGCCAACGGTTTTCTGCTATCTGGGTTATTACAAATAAATAAGCATATACACAATTCAAAAAAATAGAATAAAACACTCTTTGGTGCTTGATCACTTAAGTGCAAAGTTAAAATATTGAAAATATCATATCTAAACAAAAGTAGTCATCCAATGATAAGCATGGACATAGAAAGTCCTCTTGATTATTTCAGAATGTACCAACGTTGTCCCAACGTAAAGCTCAGCAGCTAATTATAAAATTGACACCATCAATTAGTTGGCAGTATAATAATTGGGCCAACGTTGGCCCAATATAAATATCCCATCTTTGAAGACCTAAACAAAATAACACTTGTGTGTATTACAAACATTGGGCCAACGTTGGGCCAACATACTAGTACCAACTTGATAGGACACGTTCTTTAAGGGTGCATTACAAACAATGGGCCAACGTTGGGCCAACATACTACTACCAACTTGATAGGACACGTTCTTTAAGGGTGTATTACAAACAATGGGTCAACGTTGGGCCAACATAATACTACCAACTTGATAAGGCACTTTCTTTAAGGATGTATTACAAACATTGTGCCAACGTTGGGCCAACATTCTACTACCAACTTGATAAGACTCGTTCTGTACGGGTGTATTAGAAACAATGGGTTTACGTTGGGCCAACATAATTCTACCAACTTGATAAGGCACTTTCTTTAAGGATGTATTACAAACATTGTGCCAACGTTGGGCCAACATACTACTACAAACTTGATAAGGCACTTTCTTTAAGGGTGTATTACAAACAATGGGCCAACGTTGGGCCAACATACTACTACCAGCTTGTAAATATACATTCTTTAAGGGTGTATTATAAACATTGGTCCAACGTATTGCCAACGCCATAATCCTTCCTTCT